TCGCCACGATTTTGATTCCTTATCGGACCATAAATATTTCAGCGCCAGCTAGGCCAGTACCGATAATCATTACTACGCCAGGACCAATGCCGTATGAAAGTACCAAAGCCATTCCATGGAACTATGGGGCTGAGGTGTTTTGCTACGGACAAAAGCAAGAGTTGACCAGTTCGTCATATGTGGTTCTACTGTTGACAACATAGTTGGTGTATGAGGGATCGCTCGTAGTGGAAGGATCTTTTCTCTGCCTGAAGTTAATATTGACAAGACTGATAAAGGAAAAGGGAAGGCAGTGGTTGAAGATGACGTGCAACAATAGGCTGGTGGTGATTCTTTTTCTAAAGATGTTGAGGAGTTCATGAGGTTAATTTGTAAGAGTAACTACAAGATTGTGGATCACTTGAATCAAACTCCATCCAAAATTTCCATTTTGTCTTTGCTGTTATGTTCAAAGTTGCATCGTAATGCCTTGTTGAAGATTTTGAATTCTGCTTACGTACTATAAGAAATTTTAGTCAATCAGTTGGAAGGGGTAGTAGCACACGTTAATGATGGTAATGGTTTAGGCTTCACTGATCTAGATTTGACTCCTGCTAGGAGAAATCACAACCATGCCTTGCATATTTACATGGAGTATAGAGGATCATTATTGTCACATGTTCTGGTTGACACAGGATCATCACTCAACGTGTTTCCAAAGAAGGCATTAATGAAGTTGGACACTCAGGGGTTGATATGCACACCTAATTATTTGGTGGTGAGAGCATTTGATGGTTCAAAAAGGTATGTTTTTGGAGAGATTACCATGCCAATTCAGGTGGGACCTGAAACCTTTGATACAACATTCTATATAATGGATATTCAGCCGGCATATAGCTGCTTGCTTGGCCGACCTTTGATACTCTACATCAAAAGTTGAAATACATGATGGAAGGGAAGGTTGTTCCCGTGTGTGGGGAAGAAGATATAATGGTTAGCCAACTATCAACATTCAAGTATGTAGAAGTGGACGGGGAAATCCACGAAACTCTCTGTCAAGCCTTCTAAGCTGTACAAATTCAGGAGAAGCCTCATGTCGAGGTTAAAGGCCTAGAGGTTTCAATGTCGTCTTTCAAGGAAGCCCATGCTATTGTTGAATTTCGAACTTCTCAGATGTGGGGCCAGGATCTTGATGTTCCTGTCAAACAAGATAAATTTGGTCTAGGATACAAGTCCTCCAATTTTTCTCAAGACCCTCCAAAATACAGGGTGTCGCAGTGAAATTTGGATACCAAGCTATTGATGAGCTTGAATCTTAATTCATTTGCGACCGAACTTTAATTTTTCCAAAGGAAGGGGAAAATATCGAATTACCCACAATGCAATGCAAATGCAAAAGCTAGAGAGTTTTAGGTTCGGGGGTTGGTTAAACTTAGGGAAGGTGCTAGCATCCTAAGCTTCTGTAGTACTCTACAGGAACCTCTTGTTTTATGTTTGTTTTATTGCTAAGGTTTATCTGCTTAAGGGTGAAAGACCTAGGGGTTTATTTCTAAGTATACTCGATAAGATATTGTATCTTATGCCTACATATCCTTACGGGAGTGGAATCAGAGTATCTGTAGTTCCCCTAAAGGGTTTGAGGAATTCTTTTGACTATGGTCAAAGTTCCTTCGAGTTTAGGGTAGTTGATTGATTGATTTTAGGAGAAAAGATAAGTTTTCATTTTAAGGGAGATTACTTGATTTAACCACCACAGCTTTGTAGGAAAATAGTCTTTGCATCGTCTTAAGAGGAAGGCTCAAGTACTCAGAATTTAATCGACAAGTATATCACTATCTCTCTTAAGGCAAAGTTTCTACATATTGATTGAATTGTTATGGGGTAGGAGTTTTATCTCGCTTAAGATGATTAACATCTCATTTTCTAATGTTTGAATAAGTTTGAATTGAATTGATTTAATTGTGTTTGTCTAAGTTGTAAAGATAAAAGGTCCTCCTTATGGGGTAGGATCTAAACTTAGAAGATCGACTTGAATGGGATCAAGGATCAATGGGAATATGATGCAAATGAGATGCATACACACAATTGTTTAAGTTATGCGCAAGTTCTTTCTTTGGGTGTTATGCGATGCGATAATATAAATTGCATGAAGGTAAAGATAAATTGCAGAAAAATAAAGGCATATAAATAAATCCATTCATGAACGCATGAAAGCGCTAAGTGTGTGAATTGTGCATATGTGAGTGAGATCGGTGAGGGAACGAAAACGTGCACGATTGATTTTGAATGTTGATTGATTAGAGAAAGGTTGAATCAATTTGATTTTTTTTTTTTAGGAAAAAAGGTTGCATTATCTTTGTTTTAAGGAAAGGCATTGAATTGGATGATATGAATTGGTTTTAGGATAAAGTTATATTAGTTATAATTAGGTCGATTAATTTTAGTAAAAGCTTGGTGTGAAATTAATTTAAGGAAAAAGGTTATCTGATTATTTATTTTTTTTAGTGAGATTAAAACTAGATTTTTGAATAGAAATGACCTTAAATAAAAGATGCTTTGTTTTATTATTAAATACATGGATTTTTAGTTATTATTATAAAAGATAAAAGTTAATTAATTATATAAAAATGGTGCTTTATTATTATTTTTTTAAAAAAGTTATTTTGAAATATGAAATGGATTTTAAGAGGATGAACAAACAGATAAATTATTATTTATTTAAAAAAGGTGTGAATTAATTAAGCTCTTAATTAGTTCATTTTGAATAAAAGGAGTTTAAGTATCTAAAAGATTTTTATTATTTATCTTATTAAATAAACATTAATTTAAATATGAAATGGTCTATTATAACTAAAGGTTATGGTTATTATTAAAAGTTAATTTAAATTATGAAAAGGTTTTTTTTAAATATACAAATAGTCTAAAAAAAACAAAGTCATTTAGAAAAGATTTTTGTGAACAATTATATTATTATAAATAACTAAGGTGAATAGAGTAAAAAGATTATTTACAAGTTGATTAATTAAAAAAGAGTTAATTAAATAAATGAGTTAAAAAAAGTCTTATTGGTTGTTTTTGAATAAAAAGGTCTAATTTAAAGGATTAGTTTAAGTTAATTAAAATAAAATAAAAATGGTTAATCATATTAAGCTAATGGGCAGATTAAGAGATTTACTAAATAAAAGTTGTGATTAAGTTTTTTTTTAATTATAAAACTGATGATTAAGTGATTAAATTGGATTAATTAAATAGGGTTAAGGGTAACGAAGAGTTTAGTGGAGATTAAATTAATGGGGGCGGACGACGATCTGGTGTGGTGGTTTTATGAGGGCTTATCGTGGGGCGCGATTCGTGGACTACTGGATACGGATCGAGTGGCTGTGATCGTGGTGGTTCACGGTAACTACCGTGGGTGCGCATGCATTGGATTACAATAATAATAAAACAAAAAAACTGAAAACATAAACCCTAGCTCCATCCCCAAATCTGTCGATTGCATCTCCTCCCCTCTCTTCTCTCGATTTCTCGTCGGCTTTCTTCATTCTTTCTTCCGTCTTCTTCTCTTCATCTCCTTTTCCGTCCAGTCCTGTAAAACAAGTAACAAGAAAAATGAACAAATGACGTTAGCAAGAGACGCTCATGGTTTCAAATGGTTTGTAGGTGGTGGACGGTTTCGGAGACGGCGAGTTCCGGCGGCAAAGGTCACGATATCGATTCGTGTTTACAGTGATGCACGTTGAAGCTGAGGGCGGCGCCGATGGCTTTGTGGTGGATCTCGAGATACATTCTCGTCACTTTGATTTACGAAATTAGGGTTTATGATCTTGGGATTTTTTTTGGAGTTTATGTGTAAACTGTTGTGAATTATGTCTGTGTTTTCCATCTCAATTCTTCTCTCTTATAGTTGTCAAGAACGAAAGTATGATAAAAATCTTTCCTTTCTGGTTCGAACCTGTCTGAAGCATGTTTGGGTAAGTTGGGAAACTAATTGAATTTGCTTTGATTTGCAGAAAATGGTGTTAAGGCTCCTTCAATCTTTGTTTTGGTGCTTCTTCAATGTGCCTGGCTCAATAAGGAAACTGATAAATGTGTCTCTGACCGGAAATTGGTAAGGGTAAACCCCTCTCGAAACATGCCATGAATATGTTTTGACACGCTCTTCTTCCCCCCTTATTAAAACGAGCGTGTTGCTGTCCTGAACATAAACCATGGTCATAAAAATCGTTGTTTAAAATCTCTCCTCCCTGGTTATTAATTGAATTTCGGTCGTAACTCTCTATCCTTCTTGAAATTATGTCAACTGTATTGAATTTTGGTTGTGATTGTAGGAATTCTGAGGGAGTAACTGTTGAGCTTCAATGTCGCAACCTTTACCTCCATTAGCTATTGCTCACAAAATCCAACATGATACACTCTGGTTGTGAGTTCAGTTCAGTTTTGACGACAGCTCCTCCTTCCGAGTATTAATTTAATTGTTTTTATGACAGTCGATACTTACGTTCCAAGTTGCCTGATGTAGGTGGGGGGTTTGTTGAGTCAACTGCGGTACCGCCATTTCCTGATACTTTCTGGTATGGTGGTTCTCGCTATCATTATGTAAAACTTAATACCTATCTTTGAACGTTTGGAGGATTAACGACAACAGCTGTGCCTTCTTGTTTCAGCCTGTGGTTATGGCGCTAAGTCATTGTTTTAAGCCGAAAAATGATACAAAGTGATTAAGCGAAATCATCAAAGGACTTAGGCAAGCGTCAAGCAATGATGGGAGTTTGCGGAGCATATGGTACCGGTTTTAGAAAGAGCTCAGAAGTTGGTTTGTATCCTTGAAGAAATCTCAATTTAAATCTTCTTCGAATACCCTGTTTCTGACTTAGCTCAAATCCTTGATGTAAGTAATCTCAAAGGTTGTATTTGTACATTATCCTGAATATTGTATTCTTGTGTTAATGACCACCAGTTGTGCCGGTTTTGGTTTATGCTGATGGAAGATACACTCTAAGTTTGAATGATAATTCAATCCTTTATTGTGAATGCAGGTTACGAAGACATGTTCGAGTTATGTCGGCGGATGTTTGGAGCTTGTTGGCAACATCGACATGTTTTGGGAGGGAAGAGGTGTCATCAAAAGGAGGATCACGCGGCGCATTCCCTGAAACGCATATCGACATTTGAATTTGGACGAAATCCATTAGATATTGCAGAAATGTGTAATCTCCCTTATTTAATAAGTCTTGAACAGCGTGAACCACACCAAGGGCACCACCTTTCTGTTCAACAGATGCAGCACAAGCTTTATAATGTACCTCTGCGGAAAAGTTACCAACACTTTGCTTAATTAAGTTGTTGATTTCGTCAATGATGTTTGTCACATTGCTATGAATCACACCAATGGTGTATTGTGCAAGGTTAACGAGATCTCGACTTTCACTGGGATTTGAATTGAGGAGATTTGAACAGAATGAAGGGTTTGTAGCATTCTTACAAATAGTATTGATATCTACAAACTTAACTGAATAACAAGATGTAACACATACAAGAAGAACCACCACAAAGAAGAAGAAACGAGCCATCTGATTTTGCTTATTCCTTTTCCATTCATGAATATTTGATATCTTCATAAAGTTGTTACTGACGGTGATTCTTCATAGCAGGATAACATGAAAGGAGGGCAAGTATCTCCCTACTTCTATGGAGGTTTTGGCCAATGTTGGAAGAACTACCCTTCTGCCGCGACCTTCCTAGCGAGAAGTCCTCTGACAGTATGTAGCCTCAGATACTTGGGTGGTGATTAATGAATCTTTTGACTTTGTCTTCGTTTTGCAGATGTGTTGCCATGAACATGGGCTGCCAATGTGAATTCTTCGATGTCGAGCTTCCCGGCTAAACCGGCTCAAAGTAAGCGCACCTCACCTTATAACTTATCGCAAGTGTCGATCGGAGTTGTTGCTAAAAATTATAGTTTCCTTCCTTTAAAACCTTTGTATTTCGTGTGATGTAGGCACTACCGCGGTTATACGGGTGGAGTTCGCGGCTCAAAGCTAAAGATGTATTATAGATCTCTTCAGGAAGCTCAACTCGGCCATACACAGACTCAATGCATCAATTTGACAAAACAACTTTGGCACATGTGATACTAAAGATGATTTCCCTGTATGAAGTTGTATAGATTTAAGATTTCCAAATCATGTATTCCAATTCCCTTACAAAACCAATGCACCTTATGTGGTAGCATTTGTAAGAATTATGACTTGTATGCCTTGTAATGTATTGTATTAGAACTTATTTAGGATCAGTAACAGTAGATTACTTCGACCGAAGTGGTGCAATGCCCAAATGTATCTCAACTTTCTTATTTAATGCATTCATCTAGAACCTATCTTCTTTCAAGGTCATTTAACAATATTCTCATGAAGAAAAAGTTGGCTAATTGTGATATTTGAGGTTAAAAGGTCATATCAATTATTTGAGAAAAGAACTGTGGCTGTGGGATCCACTCAGTCCGTTATGTCCTTTAAAAATTGTAACAACAGTTTTCTCTAATTCTCAGGTGTACTTCCCTTGAAAACTTGATTAAAGATGTGTGGCTTGACCTTGGAGAGTTTGAATGTAATTATACCCATGGTGAAGCATGAGTCATCATGCCAAAATAAAAGAAAACCATGTAATTGTCCTTGATCAATTGAATTTGTGGAAATATGGTCTAGAGAAAAAACTCCAACTTATCGAATTCTCGAAAACGTAATTCAAGTGAGAATCCTCTTATCGTTTTGCAATTTGAGCCATTTGAGTGGCGATAGCATATGGACTACTTCCCATTTCTGAAATTCTATAGGCTTTGCGATATACGGATTTTTGAATTCAAAACACGAGCTCGTTCTTAAGTGGCCACGCTTAACCATCAAGGAGAACCTTGATTCTCACTTCAAAGCACTCCACGGAAAACGACTAACAGAATAAGCCCAGGATCTCCAATAATCCAATGGCCGCACCTTGAAGTTCTTGACTGTAACGATCCTCATTTTACATTACTGCAGCTGCATGAATTGGTTAGCCGTAATAAACAGGTACACAAAAGTAAAAAAAACAAAAAAACAGGCACACGGAGGTGGGATCTTATGGTCAAAAATTAGGGTGTGACACAGGGGACCTTCCAGATTCACCAGTGGTGGAGTCATCTTTGACAAGATTCATGATATAGGGGACAATGAAGGGGATAGTGACTACGACATGGATGCTCAAATTCGTCCTTGTGTTCCTGGCCAGAAGTTGTGCAATTGGACCACCGAGGAAATCATTCAAGTTACCACCGAAGAGTAACTTTCATTTGTTTTGATTATGTTCAGTCCTACGTTCTGCCTAAGATGTAGTGACCCATCTGTAGGGCCCCTTTGTTATTTTTCAACATCATCATAATAAAGAAATTTTTTTGCATTCAAATATTTTGATCCCTGTTTTTCTTTTTACATTTATTAACAGAAAATGGCAATGTGTTTGTGTTTGTTTGTTGCACTACTTAATGAACATAAAACATCGATCATGCATATATTTTATCTCATATACCATCAATTCTAATTCAGCTATAGCTCAGTATGACTTTGATAATCCTATCTATCAAGCTGAAGAAGAGGCTGACGAAGACTGTGAACTACCGGAGGAATTAGCCAGACTTCTGAAGCAGGAGGAAAGGGTCATTTTGCCTCATCAGAAGGATATTGAAGTTGTCAATTTGGGTATCAAGGATGAAAAGAAAGAAGTTATAATTGGGGCTGATTTGGAAGACAGTGTTCAGAGAAGATTGGTTGAAATGCTCCGAGAGTATATGGATGTGTTAGAACACAGATTGGTTCTTAATAATTACTCTTTGTTTTGATGATAACTGTTAGGAAATTTATATTTAAGAATTATATACTCTAAAATTTGTTTGAGAGTTTTACTGCAGATTGAAATTATATTAACTCTCTAGAAGCAAATCTGCCTTGAATACAAGAAGTTATTCTGACTCTGAAGCGCCAGATGCACCTTACAGAAGAATCTGTTTGCTCCTCACAGAAGATCCTGAGCGTAGTCTCCAGAAGGATCTGAAGCAAGAAGCTCCAGAACATTCTGAGTCAGAAGCATCTGAAGATAATCAGAAGCATCTGAAGCTGAAGCATCAGAAGTATAGAAGAATATTGATTGATGAGTTTCTCAAAGCATTAGTCTACAGAAGTTTCTGAAAGTACCTACGCTGCCAAGTACTGAAGTTCTGTGTCAAAATGCTCTGATGATCAACACGCTAGAAGCACACACGCTGCAGAAGACTCTGATACAGCATAGTTCTGAATCTCTTTAGAAGACTCTGATCCATTCAGACTCTGAAGAACTTGCTGAAACTGAAGAAGTATTTTCAAGAATATATCCGTTGGAACTATTCAACGTCTCTTTCCTTATTTGTGCTAGACACACTTACACAGACAAAAAGGATTTTTCTGTGCTATCTATTTCAAGGAAAGGTCAGTTGATGTGAAGACAAAAAGGCTCAGACCTTTTGGGACTCTCTTTTCAACGTTCAGCTTGCATGATTTAGCTGCCTATAAAAGGAGATCTTCACTTCATTCTTTAGTGATACACTCTTGCTGAAAAGAAATCATAATATTCTAAAAGCTCACATTCTTATTCTTCATAGAATCTCATTGTACTTAAACTAAAGAGAAAAATCACTGTTGTGATTAAAGCTTTATAGAAGCATTAAAAACTCTTGTATTTAATTTACATTGATTGTAAAGGATATTCCTTAAGAGGATTCAGTTAGAATCAGTAGCTCTTGAGAAGACTAAGAACTGTTGTTCTTAGGTGATACTATTGTAATCAGTTTGATTTAATAGTGGATTAAGTCCTTGTTGAGAAAGGCAAATCACTCTGGAAGGGTGGACTGGAGTAGTTGTTAAACGAACCAGGATAAAAATAATTGTGTGATTATTTTTAAGTCTTAATTTTCCATACTTATTCAATCCCCCCCTTTCTAAGTATTATCTCACCTTCAGTTGGCATCAGAGCTCCGGTTCTGAGTGTGCTATCACTTAACAGTGTCAGTAAATATCCAGAGAGATATACTTTGATAAATATATTTATTTGTTATCATGGCTGATAATTCAATGTCAAATATTAACAATAAATATGAAGAGAGGGATAGGATCAGCACCAAACCTCCAATGTTTGATGGAGACAAATTTGATTACTGGAAAGACAGAATTGAGAGTTTTTTCCTAGGATATGATGTTGATCTATGGGATCTTATCATAGATGGATATGTACATCCCACAGATGGAGATGGCAAAAAGATTGACAGAAAATCTATGACAGATTCTCAGAAGAAAGACTTCAGAAATCACCATAAAGCCAGAACCATATTACTGAATGCTATTTCACATACAGAGTATGAGAAAATCACAAACAGGGAGACAACTTTTGATATGTTTGAATCCCTTAAAATGACTCATGAGGGAAATTCTCAAGTTAAGGAGACAAAAGCTCTGGCTCTGATCCAGAAGTATGAGGCTTTCAAAATGGAAGACTCTGAATCTGTTGAAGCCATGTTCTCCAGATTCCAGATACTCACTGCTGGGCTGAAAGTTCTGGACAAGGGATATTCCACGTCAGATCATGTAAAGAAAATCATCAGAAGTCTGCCCATCAGATGGAGACCAATGGTGACTGCCCTGAAGATGGCCAAAGATCTGAACAAGATCTCTCTAGAAGAACTCATCAGCTCACTGAGGAGCCATGAGATTGAGCTTGAGGAAGACGAACCTCAGAAGAAAGATAAAGGTAAATCTGTAGCATTAAAATCTAACAAAACTGCTAAAGCTTTGCAGGTCATTCAAGAAAGCTCTGAAGAGTCTTCTTCTGAAGAAGAACATGAGTTATCCATGCTGTCCAGAAGGATTAACAAACTCTGGAAGCACAAGGGAAAGAAGTTCAACAACTTCAGATGATCTGACAACAGAAAGGAATCTTCTAGTCACAGAAGATCTGCCAAGAAAGAAGTGGTGTGCTATGAGTGCAAAGAACCTGGGCACTACAAAAATGAATGCCCCAAACTTCTGAAAGAAAAACCTAAGAAGAAGTTCAACAAAAAGAAGAAAGTTCTGATGGCAATATGGGATGACTCAGATGAGTGTGAATCATCTTCTGAATCAGAAGAAGAATGTGCAAACGTTGCACTGATGGCCAGGACAGAAGATCAAGAGGAAGGTACCTCAGGATATGAATCAGAATTTGAATTTGATGATGATGCAGAAGAGGTAATGGCTAAACTTACCAAAGAAGAACTCATTAAAGTTGTAACAGAAGTTCTTGAAAGTTATAACAACATCAAACTCAAATACAAGAAGCTGAAAAGCAATCTTGAATCTGAGATTGATCTTCTGAAAACAGAACTTGTTGAACAGAAAGAAATAAATTTAAAAATCAAAAATGACTTTGAAAGAACTCAACAAGAATATGAATCTGAGACTAAGTCATGTGAAAATATTTTAGAAAAATATGACTCTAGTTTTCAGAGATTTCTCACTAAGAGCATAGACAGAAG